GTAGAAAGGACTTCACGCATTAGTGTCTCATCTTCAAATCCTCTTGATCCTAAAAATCCAACCATTGGTTGACCACTTCTCATCAATACATTATGACCTTTTTTCCAACAAATAACAGGAAAGCGTCCACGAGACCGAAACTTAGCAAGATTTTCGAAGAAAGAAGAACCAGATTGTGATTCAGATGTAGTTTGCGAACCAGCCGTAGGCTGTGATTCAAGTGAAGTATTAGATAGATTGGAACAAGTACTAGATGAATTTAAATTCGCTAACGTTTCTTTAAGAACTTGTGTTGGTAAAATGAAATCTTGGGGATAAGTTGGAGATATTGAAAAATCTTCATTAATAGATTCGATGCACCTAAATGATAGTAAGTATGAGAAACAATGATAGAAGATAGACGTTTACTGATTTAAACAAATATTACCATGAATTTTTGTTCATTTGCATCCGTTCAAACTCCTTTTGTATTCTATACCCTTTAGACCAGCCCAAATCACGGGTTCGTTTGAAAACAGATTCATCCAAGCTTTTTCTTATTACATCATCATCATCCTCTTCATCACTACTCAGACCACCAAATAATTCCTCAAAGATTTTTTCCTCTAATGATAGTTTACGAACACGTTGAATATTCTGATCTCGTTTTATCGGATCATTTTTTTTAAATACCTCCGCCTCACCCATGTGAAAAGCAAAAGTATTTTCCAAACTACTTGGATATACAAATCGTTTCATTATAGTCGAAAAATCATGACAGAGGGAATTTGCGGTGGTTCGGATATTGATAAAATTTCCTACTAATGCGGTTGGTTTTGGTTTTGAGAACTTAAACAAATATTTTGACGGTGAAAACTTGAGAGTTATCGTAATTTGAGCTTGTGACTCTTCAATTTGAGATATAGAAAGATGTGGAATCTGTGTAGTAGAACGCATCAAATCTATTTGTGGATGTAACGATGTCGTAGAGGAATTGGTGGAATTTCTTACAGGTCGATAACATGTTCGATAATTG